GCCCGCTCACCGCCACCATCGCCAGAGCCTCAGGTGGGCCAGGCCCCGCCCCAGGGGTGCCCCAGCACCCCACAGTGAGCCAGGCGCACACCTAAGCCTGCCTGCCCCAACCCCTGGAGCCCCACTCACATTCTACAGACGGAAACTGGGCACAGGGCACCCAGCGGGCAGAGGGGCTCTCTCCTCCCCGCCCACACCCCTAACCGGCTCCTCTGTCCCCCAGGGAACACCTTCCCACCCCAGGTCCACCTGCTGCCGCCGCCCGCAGAGGAGCTGGCCCTCAACGAGCTGGTGACGCTGACGTGCGTGGTGCGGGGCTTCTACCCCGGCGACGTGCTGGTCCGGTGGCTGCACGAAAACCAGGAGCTGCCCCGAGAGAAGTACCAGACGTGGAGTCCCCTGCCCGAGGCCGGCCAGGGCAGCACCACGTTCGCCACGACCAGCGTGCTGCGCGTGGACACCGAGGCGTGGAAGAACGGAGACAGCTACTCCTGCATGGTGGGCCACGAGGCCCTGCCCCTGAGCTTCACGCAGAAGACCATCAACCGCCTGGCGGGTAAACCCACCCACGTCAACGTGTCCGTGGTCTTGTCAGAGGTGGACGGCATCTGCTACTGAGCCGCCCGCCCGCCTGCCCCACCCTTGAATAAACTCCGTGCTCGCCCAAAGCAGCCACCATCCCTCCAGCGCCTGACTTGATCCTCTCGGCAGGGCACCTCGAGGTGCCCTCACACCCGTGCGCTTGTGTGTGTGTGTGAGCGTGAGTGTGGGCGCCTGAGTGTGAGCACGTGAGTGTGAGTGTGAGTGCGTGGTGCACAGTGATTGAGGCCAAGCTGGAGTGAAGCCTGAGGCTGGCAGAGCCGTGGGAGGCAGACACGGCTCAGTGGGCCCTGAGGGCATGGACGCCAGGGATGGTACCGCTTGTCTCAGAAGCCGCCTTAAGGCATAGCGGGAGGGAAAGTGGTGGGAGGGAGCAGGGCAGCCAGGGCAGGGTCTGCGCCACCTGCCGGGGCCAGGGCGTGAGAGGAATGGCATGGAAGGAGGGCTGGATTCCAGGGCCCCTCACCCCCGGTAGGCACCACACAGAGATGCAGGCCAGCCCACTGACTCACAAAGAAAGGGGACCACACACAGGGGTGCACATGGGTGTGCACACATGTTCCCTATGTGCTCACACTCACGTGGGTGCACACACAAACTCCCTGTGCTTACACTCACATGGGTGCACACACATGTTCTCCATGTGCTCACACTCATATTGGTGCACACACAAACTCCCTGTGCTCATACTCACATGAGTTCATACACAAACACCTTGTGCTCACACTCACATGGGTGCACACATATGTTCTCCACGTGCTCACATTCACATGGGTGAGCACACACACACACACACACACACACACACACACACTGAGCCTTGCAGGTGCAGGAAGTTCATGGCCTAGGTCCAGCTTTGGGAAGGCAAGGGGAGTCCCCATCCAAGCCCCCAGTGGGTTTTCCCCAGGCCCAGCCCATTGTCCCAGGTCCCTCCTGGCCCAAACCACAGGGCAGGGGCAGGTGTGGGACGGGCAGAGAGATAGCTCCCACCAGGGGGAACAGAATGGAAAGGGCAGTCCCATGACCACCTGGGACACTGGGCCCCAGGGCCCCAAAAGGGGGCAGCGAGGCCCTGCTCTTGTCTTAGACACCTTCTGGGCCTCCCCAGGGGACCTGGCCTTCGGGCTACCTCTGTTCCCAGGGCCAAGGTGGGGTGAGAGCTCCTAACAACCCTGCCCACTGCTCCCCTCTCAAGGGTCCCGTCACCCAAGGGCAGTAGGGAAAGCAAGGTGTTGACTGGGGAAATGCTGCCATAGTGAAGGTGCCCCAGCCACCTGGGACCCAGGACCTGCCCAAGGAGGAGCTTCCTAAGGAGACCAGGAAAGGAGAAGAAAGCAATAGATGAGGGGCTGGACCAGCAGATGGACAGAGGGCAGATAGGTGGATAGACCATAGGACATACAATGGATGAAAGGATGGACAGATGGATGGATGGATGGATGGATGGATGGATGATGGATGGATGGGTGATGGATGATGGATGAATGGATGATGAATGGATGAAGGATGGATGGATGATGGATGATGGATGGCAGATGAATGGATGATGGATGGAGGATGATGGATGGATGGATGGATAATGGATGGAGGATGGATGGAGGATGAATGGTGGATGGAGGATGGATGGAGAATAGGTGGATGATGGATGATGGATGGATGGATGATGGATGGAGGATGGATGGATGGATGGATGGATAATGGATGGAGGATGGATGGATGATGAATGGTGGATGGAGGATGGATGGAGAATAGATGGATGATGGATGATGGATGATGGATGGATGGAAGATGGATGGAGGATGGATGGATGGAATATGGATGAAGGATGGATGGATGAGTGGATGGGTGATCAGTGGGGGAGTAAATGGATGGATGGGTGGATGGATGGATGATAGGTGGTTGAGTGGGTGGATGGATGGATGGATGGCCGAATGGATGAATAATTGGATGTATCAGCATGTGACAAGCAGGTCCAAATTTCATTTAGTATGGCAGTCTGTGCCCTAGGATCCTGAAGCCAGCAGGGCTGCCTGGCCTTCACTGGGCCCTCCTTCATGCTCCTTGTAGCTCGTCAGCTACATTCCTTGGGAGGGTGACAGAGGCTCCTGGTCACGTCCATCCAGCCCTCAGCATATGAACCACAGCTCCAGATCCACGTCTCAAAGTGGGGCAGCTAGAAAGTGGGCTCATCCATCCTCTCTGGCCCTTTCAGGGCTCAGGCCAGCTCAGCCCAAGAGCAGGAGCGTGGTGAGGACACAGATAGGGCTTGGGCTTGAGCTCTCCTTGGAGCAGCAAAGACAGTGCCCACCCTCCTGCCCTGCCAGCTCTCTCTCCCTAAGGCGGCCTGAGACCCTCCCAGACAGAGGCCCTGTGGGCATCTCCAGAGCCACAGTGGCCCCAGCCCCTTCTCCAGGGACCTGCCACCTCATCCTCTCTAAGGCAGCCTTGCCTGTGAGATAAGGAACCACACTGCTGTGCCCCGACCCCAGAGATGCGGGGAGGGAGGGCGGTGGCTCGGCCCACACCCACGCAGGCGCATGCTTTGCAGGCGCTCAGTGTCTTGCAGGTTGCCAGGAGCTGCTTCCCTGGCCGATGATAGACCTGCCAAAGGAGGACCTGGAGGAGGACGCCCCGGGAGCCAGCCTGTGGCCCACCACGGTCACCCTGCTCACCCTCTTCCTGCTCAGCATCTTCTACAGCACAGCACTGACCGTGACAAGCGTCCGGGGCCCGCCCAGCAGCAGGGAGGGCCCCTCGTTCTGAGCAGGAGCCAGCCAGGCACAGGTGGGGGCGAGGAGACAGTGTGGTGGGCTAATGGGGCATGGGGCACCTGGCTAGCAGGGAAGCATATGCCACAGGGGGGTTGGAATCTGAGGGAGTCGTTCCTCACAGACATTGAGGACATGCGCAGACCAGAGCCCGGAGCACAGATGTCCCCCCTACAGGGTCAGGGAATCTGCTTCCCACCTGGTGCATTTGCTGCAGGGGCTGAGGGTGGGGCATTGGCAAGGACCCTGCCCCCGCAGGAGCAACCCCAGGCCCTGACCCTCCTGTGTTTGCAGGACGGAGCATGGAAGAGCCTCCCAGAGCCCAAGCAGACACCAGAGCCAAGCCCGGGATGGAAGCACCCGCCCATCCCCACACGGGCCTTCCTGGTACAATAAACTTGTGACAAACACAGTGGTTCTCTGTCTCTGAATGAGGAGAGGGGGCAGGGGCCGGGGGAGGCTTCGGGGAGAAGGGAACCAACCTCATGCCCCAAGGCAGGTTCACAGTGAACATAGAGACGGGGCCACCTGCCAAGGCCACCCGAACAGGTCCTGCATATGGCACAGGTGTGAGCAAAAGCAGGTCTCACCAAGGGGAGTATAAACAAGATCCTCACAGGAAGTGGGCCCGGCTCACTGGGCCTGATCACTGTGCCCTGGGCCTGAGCACTGGGCCCTGATCACTCACTGGGCCCTGGTCAGTCATTGGGCCCTGATCATGGTCA